GGGTGGGTGGGGTGGGTGGGTGGGGTGGGTGGGGTGGGTGGGTGGGTGGGTGGGTGGGTGGGTGTAATGTAAAGACCGCTTTCCCTTATAGGTGGGGGGTCCACATAGCTAATATGATGTTGGAGTCTATTAGATGCATGATGTACCTTAATTCTGTAAGGAATCTAGGACCAGAACATCGATAATCTATTGTACAGTAGCCGCCACGTTGACGGAAGTTGGTTGCAGCTGAGAGACACGATACTTGACACCCTTTCCATGCTTCGCGTCAGGGTGATGCGGGTCATGGTGGCGGCCATCGTTGTGCTGCAGCTCATGGTGTGTCTCGTGACGGTGCGTGTCATGATGGTCATGGTGGTGCAAGTCCTGTAGCTCGTTTTGAAAGTCAACCAAAACCTTGCAGGCTTGAAAAGCTTCTCAGGAAGTCGTCACAACAAAATCAAAATGCTTTCCAAGGACGTCGAAGGATCATGGAGGTGTGGGTCCATGTGAGTGTCAGGATGATGCAGGTCGTGGTGATGAGTTTCATGGTGATGCTCGAAGTGCACCCCGTGTTGCTTCTCAGTCTCGTGCTCCTCCTGCAAAGAAACAACGAACGGTGTTTCGTAACATGACATGTGACCCTAAGCCCTACGTGGACCACAGGTCAAGGTAGACCCTGAACCGGGGGAATCATAGGTCTCCCGGTATACAGGAGTGCCATTCGCAGATTTGGCTATATCTATCTAGAAGTCAGGGCTCAAGTCCGTTGGCACAATTAGCATCTGGTCTCTGTTCCGAGCCCCAAATGACTGCTATCCGGCCCCCTGTATTTTCGGGATGGTTGAATATGGTGGCTAGATTTGATTTTATGTGGCCTACTCAGCCGTCCAAACGTCCCAGTCAGGACTTACAACCTAGGCCAACTGAAAAAAGATGCACAACTCTATGGTTGTCCAAGACAGCACCGGAGTTTTTAGTCAGCAAAAAACACCCCCAGGCCCGATCCCCATATTTCCCCTATGTAGGGTCTGCACGAACTCTGCCTCTTTAAAATCCGATGCTCGAACATGGCTCTTGGGCGCCTCAGCCCCCATCAGTCGAGAAGAAGTTACACTCTCGATGAACAGTGGCATGATGTACTTGAGCCGCTTGACCTAGCGTTCGGGAAGTGTTGTGGGACGGCGCTTGTGCTTAAAACAAGCTCAACGAACTCGCAGAAACGCGGTCTCAACACAGTTCCTTGTCTGGGGTAGGCTGGCCGAGTCTCGATAGACGCATACTGCGTAGAGCGCAAACAAAAGGACCGTCCGTATAATAAGAGGCTTCTATACCCCTAGAACCCTATATCATCCCAGATTCAGTTCATGTTTCCATACTCCTGTCCATTTGATTGTCCGGTATTGGTGGTCAAAAACAACTTTCTGCATGCTGAAGGGCAAAGCTTTTCTGCCCCTGAGTCTCATACAATGGGAAAGTTTTGGGAAGTTTGCCCTAAATGACCTGCATCTTCTTTGGGAGTTACTGCCCTGCATGCCAGGAGAACTTGGCAAGTAATTAACAAGTGACCCTGTACGTAACAGTCTATATTAGGGGCCATGTTAAAAGCCATCTATAACCATAGTACCATAGTATAAGGATTATCCAACTGTTGCAGGTGGAGCAGCACCCAACCCTACGTAATGAAAAAACGCCTCTCTCAACAGAATGGATGTAACTGGATGTGAGAGAGATTCGGATACTCACGCGGTTTAGGAGAGATGCCAAAGAGAGATATGGATGATCACGCGGTTTAGGGTTTGAGGTTAAAAACGCCATATTCCAAAAGGAAAGACCTAGCTGTGCAGTACCTAAAGCCTTCTGCAAGATTATTCTTTTTTGTTCTTGCTGGGCATCATATTGCCTAACAGTAAAGGTTATCCCCTAGACACGTTCGCATTGGCCTGATCTACAAGCGTGAATAATCATGGTCCAGGAATCCTTTCATAGTGGGTGCATGGGGTACCTCAAGTTGACTTCAAAGGGACGTTAGTACCTCTTCAGGCTTCTATGGGCTTCTAGAACCCTAGAACGCTGCATAGAATCCCAGTTTCAATTTCCTTTTCCATTTGATTCTCCATTGTCGGTATTTAATTCTTGCCTCTACACAAGGCAAGCTCCACCCTCAGCCCACTCGCTCAACCCCTCCCCAGGGGGTATCTCTGGGAGTCGCAATTACATAACAAGCCTGAATTCGAAGATGTCGACTGGTATTTCCAAGTTCCAACCCAGACCCCTGGGAGGATCTAAAAATTAGATCCCCTATATAGACCCATTATAACCCGTTATATAATCCTGAAATAATTTCCCACATGGTTCTAGGGGATCTAATTTTTAGATCCATTTGGGGGTCAGGGAAAGGCTAAGTACAATTCAGGATGAGCTCGTCTGAGTTCGCTAGACTGTAGGGTTTAGGGTTTAGGGTTTAGGATTTGGGGTTTAGGATTTAGGGTTTAGGGTTTAGGGCTCATCCTCGGCAGTCGAAGCAAGGACACTGCAACCCCAGCGTGGTCTCCCCTACACAGACGTCTCTCAGGTAGCTGAGATGATCGGAAGCACAAATGGGAGCTTGCAACAATAGTGGGAAACCATATAAATTGATACCCTCAATACTACTATTATAGCACGAGTCCCAAATTAGTGGGAAACTACGTAAATCTATGCCCTAGATACTACTATTTAAAGCATCATTCCTGGCCCCACAGAAGCGTACCCCATGAGTTTGGGACACTCAAATCAGCTCCCAGAAAAGCCAAGGCTCAGTGGAAGGGGTCACGTTCACCTCCGCTCAACGGGGATGACGGCTGAAAGAAACCCTAAACCCTAAGCCGGCAGTGCAGAACATATGAGTACCCCTGGGTTTTGCAAGGAGTGAAGGTATGGATCCTTATTGTGGCCCTATATCTGAGCCCCAGTAATAAGGGAAATTTCAACTTCATTCCATTCCTGCATGGCCTGGTAACCAGGGCCCAGAGAATTCCAAGAAGGTGGAAAGGCTTCTTCCGGGTTAGATGGGGCTTTCCCAAAAAGAGGTGTACTTTTTTGGGGGGTCCCTAAAATACGGACTATAATATTCTGGGGTCTACATTGGGGTCCCCCTATTTTGGGAAACTGCCAAATGGAGTGCATGAAGCACCCCCCTAGACCCTAAACCCTGCCACCTGGAGCGCTGCTCAATAGCTTCAATGTCTGGTTGTCTTTCTTGGCACGTGGGGGTTTCCGCAAAATAGGGGGACCCCAAAATAAAGCCCAGAATACTATAGTATCCTCAGTATAGGGACCCCTCAAAAAAAGGTATGTACCCTAATTTTGGGAAACCGCCATGTGTCTCTACAACCCGAAATACGTGGTGGCGCGGCTAGCTGGCTAGCTAAGCCTGGACCGCAAGTTAGGTTTGCCTTGGAGCTCGTGCTTCCAGTCCCTCAAGTAAGCTCAGGTCTAACAAGGAGAGGCAAAAAGCTGGTTTGTACGACCCCCAACCCTTGCGTTGCAAATGGCCCCAAGTAGGTGTTATGTGTGGATTTTAGGGACCAGAAGCAAGTACAACCTCACTTCCAACTTGTAGCCGCAACTTTTTTCCGAACAAGAATCCCACAGCCCGAAACGCAACCATTTGTTCTGAGACCTGCTGGGCTCACATAGTGCTGCCCGGCTGCCAGAACTGGCTCATGCCCAGAAATGATGACCTCAAGTCTCCGGGTCCGGGTTCGGGTTTGGGGATTGATGGCAGAGACAGCCAAGACCCAGAGATGCGGCTCTTGCACCTGACGCTTCTTGTCGAATTTCTGTACGGACAAGATGATATTTGGCTGCCGTAGACAACTTCTGCTCAGCGGCGTGGGTGTCGCGATCCTCACCACGTGTGCGCCGTTCCACTTCCAAGCCCATGCGGAATCGCCTCCGGTCAGGTCATTTTTGCAAGCCGGTCAACTGTTGCATGCCCATGTGACTTCATAACTGAGGGAATACTACATGCTTGGATTTGTCAGTTTCGTGTTGGGGCCTTGTGCGCACAGCTTTCAACACATTTGTAGCTCCGTATCAGTCGGGGCATGTTGTACAGCAGGCTATCAGCTCAAGCGTCTGAACATGCATGAGAAAACCTTACAAACTTAGCTCACAATTTTGGGGGTAGCGGTGTGCTGAGGCAAGTACTGCTAAACGGCAAGAAAATCACCCCTAAACCCTAAACCCAAAAACCCTAGACCCTTCATAAAGCCTTTCACTTCAACCTTACATCTCATCAGGCCTCATCTGGATAGTGCTGTTGGGGCAACTCACTTAGGACCAGCCAAAACCCACTACGAAGCCGGCAGATCATTGGAGGTTCATGGGTTTTAGTTAGTACTCCCAGAGGGTCCATGTACCCAATAATTAGGTACTTGGGTTTTGGGTAATAGTAATTATAGTATAGGTTTGGGTAGGTATATGACTATTTGGTACTTGGACCCTTAGGGACTTGTATCTGGGATTATATAACTCTACTTATAACTGCCCATGTAGGGGCTTCTGAGTAGCACGAGAAGCCCAGTTACAAGTAGTTACCCAGTCCCATGGGCCTCCAAGTAAGTTTCCATGCTGAAAAACCTACTCGAGGGTTTGGCCACACTAGCGGTCCCTTGTAGGAACCCCTGTTGTAGGGGTCTATTGGGGCCCTTCTTGGGGTGCCCTAGACATGGAAACTGCAAATTAAATAGCTCCGGCTGTGCGGGGACAGAGATTCTGCCGTGCTGCTCCAGGAAAGGTTCCCAGACGGCAGTTTGTGGATTCAGCGACTGCCTGTCTAAGGCCAGTTGAGGTTGAGGGTTTCACGGTTTCACCTGTAGGGATACATGGGGACTTGCCCTAAACCCTAAACCTTAGACCGCTCTTTTGGGAGTCCCTTTTGGCATTAAGCTTGGGCTTTAGACTTCAGCATCTGTCCAGGGTTTCTGTCCTGCGGCTTAGGACAAGGCCGACTCTCTTGTATATAGTTCCTTTGGGGACACCATCCTTCTTTTGTAGTTTATTTGCGGAAGACCAGGCATGGGAGGCTTGCAACCATGGCCTGAGGTTCTGCCGGCTTGATTCCTAGGTTTTAGGGTTTAGGGTTTCCTTATGAATGCTTTATGTTGGGGTTGCATTGGGATAATGGAAGATAAAAGATGGAAACTACTATAGTATAGTAGGGTTATAAAGGGATCTTATGCCGGCTTGATTTCTTATAAATGCTCACAGAAGGATGCAGTAAGTTCTGCATCTGCTTGCTTCCTATAGCTTCCTACAACCATGGATGAATCGGAGCAAGTCAAGTACATCGTTGGGTGTCCTGTCATGTAGAGAGCGTACATGGGGGATTGTCAAAATTA